GACTTCCGGGAGATTCTGGTGCATCCCCGAGTCTGAGAACCATTGGTCTGAGACAATTTCCCTGACCATGGATTGATGGGGACAGGGACATGTGACTCGATTCTAGTGAGGTACAGACTACTAAATGTCTCCCGGTATTCATGCTCCCTTTTTTCTAGAAAGGAGTTTTTAGCTAGGCCCTTGGCCACTGAGAATAAAAGACATTTCCCAGCCTCCTTTGCAGCTGGGTGCGGCTACAGAACCAAGTTCTGGCCAATGAGATGGGACCAGTAGAACTTTGCGTGACTTCCAGGTCATCCCTTTCAAAAGGAAGGGACCTTGTTCTCTTGGTGCCCATGCGTGGAGCCATCCTGCAGTGAGGGCAAAACCATAGCGAGTAGAGCAACAAGACAGGGAGCTGGGGTCCCGGACACATGGAGCTGCCATACCCAGCCTGGACTGCTTGAGCCTCGACTGTTATGTGGACAAGAGATAAACATCTCGCGTTTAGGCCACTGTTATTTGGGTCTTTGATACAGCTAACGTACATCTTAGCTAATGCATCGGGCCCCTAGGTTCTTAAGGGAAGTCGTTTGAAGAGTCTCTGAGAAAGGTTTTCCTCCATGATAAGAAGACACACAAGAAGGGAAACCCTGGGCCCCGTCTTACAGGACAGCATCATGCCTGTTACTCCCACAGCCCCTGCTGCCATCTTGCCGGCTGGGTGAGTCAGCTCGGGCTGCCATAACAAAATATCACAGACCAGGAGGCTTAAACAACAGAAATTTATTTTCTCGCAGTTCTGGAGGCTAGAAGTCCAAGATCAAGGTTGGCAAGGTTGGTTTCTCCTGCGGCCTCGTTCCTTGGCTTGCGGACAGCTGCCTTCTCCCTGTGTCCTCACATGGCCTTTGCTCTGGGCACCAGTGCCCTGGTGTCTCTGTGTGTCCAAATTTCCTCCTTTTATAAGGCTGCCAGTGAAATTGGATTAGGGCTCACCCCAACAGCCTCATTTTAACTTAATCACCTTTTCAAAGGCCCTATCTCAAAATACTGTTACATTCTGAGGTCCTCGGGGATTAGGATTTCAATAATAAACATGGGGAGGGGACACAATTCAGCCCATGACCCCAGCAAGGTAGAAAATATGAGGAACTTGATGCCACGTTGAGCTGCTCAGTTAACTAGCCCTGACAGCAAACATCGGACTTCTTGTCTTGAAAGGGAATAAAGTGTCCTTCTTGTCTAAGCCACATTTGGTGGGGTCGTCTGTTCCTTGCAGCCAGAGCTCAGGTGTTTGCTCAAGCTGTTCCCTCTGCCTAGAGTAACCTTCCTTCCGTTCACCCTTCAACTTTTGTCTTGAATGCCAAGGCCACTTGGCGAATGGCTCCTGATCCTGCCTTCCCCATACAAGTGGCTCACCTTATATCAGAGTTCTCTGCTTATGTGTCTTTCTCTCTAACCAGACCAGGGTGAGCATATGCGCTGTCCCCCTGCTGCCACTTTCCTTCCTCCTGCCAGTGGCAGCCATTGATAATCAATCCCTTTTTCCCCGCTGGGAGCAGACCTGGTTTTTATAATCCTCTACACAGCCCTCCAGGCAGCCCCTGCCAATCACCTGGAGGTGGCTCAAAAGAGATGAATTTTATCTGCCACGATTGTTAAGACTTTGAGAGCAGGGACTTTGTTTGCTCATCTCTTTCTTGACTCATAAGATAATTTTAATAATATAAGTTATCATTGTATAATTCTGTTTCCATTTAATCCCTGCAGCAGCCTTCGGAGGCAGGCACCATGATTATCCTGCTTTTGACACATGAGGGCTCTGAAAGATGAGGTAACTCGTTCAAGGTCACATACATTTGAACCTAGGTCCCCCTGTCTCTGTCTACTTCCACTGGTTTTTATTTTTTATTTTTACTCCCCACTATACTAACGAGGATACTTTCTTTCACTGACATTTCCTAAGCACTTCATCTGTTCATGACTGTACACTGCAGCGAATTCACAGATAGCTTTCTATTTCCAGTGGCATTCGAAACACTTATTGTCCTATTTGAGATACCCAGCAGTTCAGTGATGTTTGGAGTTAGTCCAGGAATAATATAAGTTCCCAGTTTATAGACAGGGAAACTGAGGCCCAGAGAGAGGAAAAGGCTGCAAAAGCCAGGCAGGCGCCAGAGCAAGAGACCACCTTTCATGCCCTGCTACCACTCCAAAAGTGGGAATTCTAGACTGGCTTGAGGGGTTAAGTGGAAGTTTTCATGCCCAGAGCAAGGTCAAGGATTGGCTCACACATCCTAGCCTCTTCCTGTTGGCCCGGCAGGCTGAGTGGAGATCTCACTTCCTGCTGTTGGGAGGTGGCCGGCTGGCAGGATGTAGGGGAGCAGAAGACAGTGTGGTGAGAGCCAGCGCTAAGCAGCCTGGGCCCTTTCCCACCCCCCTAGGAGGAAGGGAGGGAGTGAGGGAGAGAAGGAGGAAGGGCTAGTGGCTGGGAGTCTCCTATAGCTCTCACACCCAGAGGCAATGGGGAGCTCTGACCCTCCCTGCAAGGGCACTGACCTGGCACACCCAGGCTTTCAAAAAACCTCTCAAAACAATCCAATGGATTGGCACCTGCACTTTACAATTCCCAACTGCTTTCTCATCTGTGGCCTCTGTCGTCTTTGGCACACCTCTGACTAGCAAGGCAGGCATTTGGGGATCCATTGTTCCCACTGGAAAGATAAGAAAGCTGAGGCCAAGAGAGGTTGCAAGGAGCAACCTGGCTCGGGTCACACAGCAAATCAGTTCCAGAGCTTGGGCCTCCAGAACCTATGTGTCATGGCAAGGTGTGGATGGGCCACTCGGAACCTTTCCAACTGTCCTGGGCAGGGCACGCAGATTGCATAGGTCCTGGAAGTAAGGAACACTAGGCTTCAGGTCCAGACCAGCCAGAAACCCCAAGTCCTCCTCTTATTCACTGTGTGACTGGCTTGAACCAGGCTCTGCACTTAAACCTCAGTTTTTAAAATCTGTATAATAGGTATAATAATGATACCCCAACATCGTGAGGCATAAGTGAGATGAAACACACAAAGTGTTCAGCACGAAGGTGGTCTTGCCTCTCTAATATTCTCCTGAGAGAGTAAAACAGGTTAGGATTTTGTAAAGTTGTCAGAATCAAAATGGAGTCACTAACGTTAAGAAAACCTTGACAAGTAGAGTGGCGGAAGGCCATAAAGAGAGGGTTCTCACACTGGCATGCCTGAGAGCAAAAAAAAGACTGTACAAAAAGCACAACCTTGCACAAAGACCGTAGCAACCTTACACACAAAATAATACTTTTGCAAGGATACCAGCCCAGCAACTGCTTGTCCGACCTTGGACTGGCATCACCCTTGTTAATTGATCTTTGTAGCCAAGGACAGTTATTGCAAAACAATCATGAAATCCTCCTTATTTTTCCTTTAAAAACCTTTGTCTTCCCTTACCTCCCTGAATATGCACAGAGTTCATCATAACGTGTTTTCCCATTGCAAAGCTTTATCCGCAAGTAAACAGCTTTTCTTTCGTTTATTTATTTATTTTTGAGACAGGGTTTTGCTCTGTCTCCCAGGCTGGAGTGCAGTGGCATCATCATAGCTCACTGCAAACTCAAACTCCTGGGCTTGAGTGATCGTCCTGTTTCCCAAGTAGCTGGGACTACAGGAATGTGCCACCATACCTAGCTATTTTTTTCTATTTTTTGTAGAGATGGAGTCTCTTGCTCAAGCTGGTCTTGAACTTCTGGCCTCAAGCGATCCTCCTGCCTTGGCCTCCAAAAGTGCTAGGATTACAGGTATGAGCCACTGCACCTGGCCCAGTTTTTCTTTTAGAGAGCCTCTCTCCGTTATTTAGGTTGACAACTCATAGACTGGTAAACAGTTTTTTTTTTTTTTTTTGAGACAGAGTCTCACTGTGTTGCCCAGGCTAGAGTGCCGTGGCGTCAGCCTAGCTCACAGCAACCTCAAACTCCTGGGCTCAAGCGATCCTCCTGCCTCAGCCTCCTGAGTAGCTGAGACTACAGGCATGTGCCACCATGCCCGGCTAATTTTTTCTATATATTTTTTTAGTTGTCCGATTAATTTCTTTCTATTTTTAGTAGAGACGGGGTCTCGCTCTTGCTCAGGCTGGTTTCGAACTCCTGAGCTCAAACAATCCGCCCGCCTCGGCCTCCCAGAGTGCTAGGATTACAGGCGTGAGCCACCACGCCTGGCCAGGTAGACAGTTTTTATTGAGCACTTACTACAAGCCGAGAGCTTTTGTAAATGCATTTAATCTTTACAAGGTCACTATGAGATCAAACTAGTATTATGCCTATTTTATAGATGAGAAAATCTAGGCATAGGTGATTAAGGAATTCCCCTAAGGTCATAACCCTAGTAAGTGGCAAAGCCAGGACTCAAACTCAGGCAGCCTGTCTCCAAAGCCCATGCATACTGCCTCCCTTAATAGTAATGATTAATTTTTTATAATCATAGCTTGCTTAGACACAGTACTCTATAGTTTATGAAGCACCTTTCACCCACTTTTGTATTCATTTCTCACCACAGCAGCCCGGGGAGGGAGGCAATGTTTACTCCCACTTTATAGAGGACAGCGGGAAACAGGGTCTGAAAGGGGGAACTGCCTTGCCTTGACAAGGTCACCCAGCAAGGTCAGTGGCAGAAGTGGGGCTGGAACTTGGAATTTTCCAAATTAATGACTCCGAATATGAGGGGGCCCTTCCCCAGCCTCACCCAGCTCCCAAATCCCCTCAGCAGCAGGCCTTCTGGCTGGAGGCCTTGAGCATTTCTCCCCAGGTCGGTTGTTCTGCCTGGGCTCCCACCTTTCAGCTGTAGGGGCCCAAGGCTCCGTCCTCCACCACCACCACCCCCATCAGATGGGAGGGGCAGGAACTCCAGGGCTGGTGGAGTTTCCGACCAGGCAGGAAAAAGAACAAAGGAACTGGGGTCGGGGGGGTGGAGAGGGTGGCCAGGAGGGTGGCAGGAGCAGAGGGGACGCTTCACCATGGAATATGAAGTCAAGAAAGGGAAGAAGGTAGGTGGGAGGTCGGGAGGGACACAGGGTAGGGAAATGTCCCCGAAGTTGGGGAGGGCACAGGCTGGGGGTGGGGGCAGCAAGTGGCATAAGCGGGGCCTTTCTTCTTATTTGGAAGGACCTTCCTTCCCACTCTTGGGCAGCCAGACATTTGGGCTCTAAACTCCCTTACCTGCTTCTCCACTCTCAGTGGCCTCTGCCATCCCTGGAATGGACAGACAGGGACCCTCCCCGAAACTGGCCGGACAGAGTCAGTTTGGAGATACTCCAACCTGCTGCCCTGGTGTCCCCCTCCTGCGGCTTCTCAGACGGAGGAACAGACAGACACCCAGCAGACCCTCCCCCTGCTCCCCACAGCCACAGACAGGACAATTGTGTGCTAGGAGGTTGCCTATGCAGGCTTGAGTCCCTCCCACCTGTTCCCCTGCCCCCTCCCTATCTTTACATAAGGGCCTCAGCCCGGGATCATTCCCCGCCCCCCTCCACCCCCACATTTTCTAGTGTGCTTCTCTGGATATCTTACCGGTTGTCTTTGGGGTTCGGGGAGCTGCTCAGATTCCAACTTCCACCCCACCCCCATCCCCACATATCCTTCTTCCCCGAAAAAATCTGGGTAGGGGCTGTTCTAAAAGGTGCCCACATGAATCATGAAGGGCTCAGAAGGGAGCCAAGACACACCTGCATGCATGTGCATGCTCTCCCTTTGTTCATCCTTTCAATAGACACTTATTGAGCACCTACTGCGTGCCTGGTGCTAGGGATGACGCAGTGGTGAGCAAAGTCAGGCAAGGTCCCTGTACCCTCCCTGGACAACACAGTTTAGTGGGGGAAGCAACTATTACTTTTTTTAAAAAAGGCAATAAATAATAATTGCGTTGTAAAATTGCATAAAAGGCCCCATACTCAGTACTGGAAGACAGACTATTAGAGTGTCCAGCCCTATACTGGTCAGTTTGAGTTGGGAGCTGATGGATGAGTGGAAGGACAGGGTGTAGGGAAGCGTGTTTGTGGCAGAGGAACAGCATGTGCAAACGGGGGGAAGGAATGTAGCAAGTAGAAAGGACTGGAAGATGGCTGTGCAGCTGGGGGCGAGAGGGAGGGGGATGAGGCTGGAGAGGAGGGTAGGGCCACAGACAAAATGTTCACACACACTCACACATGCAAGACAAAGTCCCAGCTCCGCAGCCCTCATTTAAGCCTCATCTCGTAACTCAGCCACGACAGACAGCACACAGCTTCTCCAGAGTCACCCTCACCAGCCTTTGAAGCCACCAGGATTTTGCACACACCGTGCCCTCTGCTCAGCATGCCTTCTCCCGGACAGTGTTCTTTCATTTCTCGGAGCTTTTATCCAGGCTCCACGACACCGGATCTAAAACGAGCTGAGTGTGTATCAGAAATCACCCGGAGGGCTTGTTAAAATGCAGATTATTGGGTCTCACCCCCAGTTTCTAAGCCAACAGGTCTCGGATCAAACTCAAGAATTTGCATTTCTAATAACCCTCCCCCCCAGCCCACGTGCCAGGTGATGCTGATGCTGCTGGCTGTGGGGACCACACTTTGAGAACCCCTGGTTTTTAGATCCTGGCTACTCAGAGTGTGGTGCGCAGACCGGTAGCACCAGCACCAGCTGGGAGCTCGTTAGAAATGCCGAATCTCAGGCCCTAATTCGGACCTACTGAATCGGAACTCATGGAAAACGCAGTAAAGTTTGTGACTCGCTAGTTTAGGTCATTTATCACAAACCCTGGAGGCAAGGATGGGGTCCCGGTCTCCACTGAATCCGCAGCACCCAGCACAGGGCCCAGCCACATAGGTATGAATAAACGTTTACTGAATGAATAAATGAGTGAATGATCGCGAGCTTTTGTGGACTTGTGTACTGTCTGCTTACCCAAACTAGAAGGCGAGGGCAGTGGGGTAGTTTTGTTTTGCTCACATTTGTCTTGTCATGCTGCAAGAGTTAAATAATCAGGCCACACATTCTACACAGTGGTTTTCAGCTGAGCTCCCTTTTGAAATTACCTAAGGAGCCTTTTTTAAGAGACAGGGTCTTGTTCTGTCGCCCAGGCTGGAGGGCAGTGTCCCAATCATAGCTCACTATAACCTTGAACTCCTGGGCTCAAGTGATCGTCCTGCCTCAGCTTCCCAAGGAGCTGGGACTACAGGTGTGCGTCACCACGCTCAGCTCTAAGGAGGCTTTAAAAATCTTGATGCCTGGGTCCCAGTCCCAGAATTTCTGATTCAATTGTTCTGGGGTATAGCCTGGACATCTGAAGTTTTAGAAACTCCCAGGTAGTTCTAAAGTATACCCAGCATTGGGAGCGATGGCTCTGAAGCATGGTTCTCACACGTGAGCATGCGTCAGAATCACCCGGAGGGCTTGTTAAACCCTCCTGCTCAGCCCCACTTCCAGAGTCTCTGATTCAGCCGGTCTGGGATGGAGCCCAGGAATCTGCATTTCTCTCCATTCCCAGGTGGTGATGCTGCTGGTGCTGGTTCAGGAGCCACATGTTGAGAGCTGTTGCTCTAGAGTGGTCTCAATCTTTCTTTTGAGATTTAGATTTATTGGTTTAGGCTAGGGCCCTAGAATTTGCAACTTTAACTTTGATCCAGGCCATTTTTATGCAGATGCCCCTGGATTATACTTAAATTTACTTATTAATTATTTCTAACTTTTAGGAAAGCACAGAGAGTAGCCTAACAAATACCTGTGCACCCACCACTCAGCCACACTGAATCCTAATATTTTTCTGTATTCACCCCAACCTAGGCCCATTCCTTAAACCTGGTTGGAGGGGCTATACTCACCTGGGTGTTTAGAATGGAGGTTTGGGGCCCATGCTGCTCAAGGTGAACTACTGGTTGCACCACTACTACCTGTCAGCGAGTTCCCTCTCGGGGGCTTAGTTTCTCCATCCATAAAATGGGAATCACAGAGGTACCCCTTCTGCAGAATATTTGAGAGAACGAAATTAAGTAATATAAGTAAAAGCGGGCATGGTAAGTGCTCACGACTGTCATTCCCCTGTCCTCCCCCAGGGCTTTGTATCCCCCATCAGAAGGCTGGTGTTCCCCAAGGCCGGGCGCCGGGCAGCCTTTAGGAGCAGTGTGAGCCGCCGGCCCCTGCACTCGATGCCCCTGTATCCCCCTGACTACCTCATCGACCCCCAGATTCTGCTGTGTGACTATCTGGAGAAGGAGGTCAAGGTGCGTGTGGGATGAGGAAGGGAGGGGACAATCTTGGGCTGAGGAGAGACCTCACCTCTCCTGGAGGTGAGGCCAACCCCTGGCCAGCCCTGTCTCACTCAGGGGAAGTTGTGGCTCATAGGAATGAGGCCTGGGTTCATGTCATCCTCGCCCCTCCTTATGCTGTGTACGGGCAGCAAGTGACCTCCAGCCGCTGAGCCTCAGTGTTCCCATCTCAGCAAGGGGCTCAACACCTCCCGCCAGGGGAGAGTGGATGGGAGAGCATTCTGTGCACCGCAAAGCCCTACCTTCTGTCAACCCAAATAACAAACAGAGAGGGACACTCTCAAAAAGAAAATGTTTATTGGGGAATAATTGTTCAGGGAAATAAAGGAAGGCAAAGGCTTTTAAAGGAAAAGTGAGGAGGACTGCCTAATCATTTTGAGATAACTATCCTTGGCTATAGGATCAATAACAAGGGTGGTACCAGTTCCAGGCTGGACAGGCAGTTGCTGGGCAGATGTCCTTGCAGAAGCATTTTTGTGTGCGTAAGGTTGTGATGGCCTCTGTGCAAAGTTGTGGTTTTCGCAGTTTGTTGTGATAGTTCTTATCATCAGTCATTAGTGCATGAGAATTCTTGCTTCGTGGCCTTCCCTGGCTCTATTTGCCAGGTTTTTTTAAAACACAAGTGACTCCATTTTGATTCCGACAACTTTCACACTTCCCTAGAGATTTTACCGCAGTGACCTTGTTGTTACTCGGACAGTATGCAGGTTAACAGCAAACCACAGAGAACTTTGACCATTCGAGAGCTTTCCTTCTATTTCATGAACACCATGAAGGAGCAGCCAGGGATCCTCATTTAGCTCAGAAAGATGATGGGGGAAGTGTTATCAGATTTAGCAAACAACAAGCCACCTAAATTTGAATTTCAGGTAAGTAATGAGTACTTTCTTAACATAAGTATGTCTCAAATATTTCAGGGGACTAAAAGTACTAAAAAACTTTTTAAAAATTTTGTTGTTTATCTGAAATTCAGATTTAACTAGTATCCTATATTTTATCTGGCAATCCTATACAGAGGGAAAAGCTAACAAATAAGTCCACTTAAAAATTGGGGACTGAAATTTCATAGAGAATAAAAAGAAAAGGTTCGATTGGTGGAGTTCACCTAGAAGAATACAACTAAAAATAATGGGAAAAGTTCATTCTTATATTGAATAACATTTAAGTGAAGTGATAACATTAGGCTATAAGTAGGAATGAATGAAAAAAATTGTTGATTTAGAGCATTATTTTTCTGACAAAGTGATCTACTAATTAGACATAACATACTTCCATTTGACTTCTGCAACAAGACCATAAAGAGGGCAAGTGATTTGCAATCAGTTTGACAATGATACTTGGGGCAGAGAGAGCCACTCAGTCCAGAGGAAATTCACAGGTGGTCAGTTCTTTCAAGCTATTACAACTTTTGCTTCCCTATGGAATCTTATAGCTAAATGACTATTTGTTAAGGTAATATAAGCTAGCAGTTGAGAGTGTGGGCTCTGGCAGGTGGAGTCCAGTTTTACCCTTTTAGCTATATAATTCTGGGCAAGTTTTTTATCCTTAAAGCGAGGATGAATGAGTGACTACATAGAAAGCGCTCAGAACCGGGTGCTTGGCTTCTATTATGGAGTCAATAAAAGTTACGATCAGATTATTATTAATTCAGATATTTCTATCTTAATTTATCTGCACCGCGTCAGTGAGGAGGCCAGGGTCCTCCAGGGGTTCAGAGTGACCTCTCTGTGCCCTTGTCCCTCCTGGTTTCCCGTCCAGTTCTTGGGCCACCTCACCTGGGTGACTTCCTCACTGAACCCCTCCAGTCGGGACGAGCTCCTGCAGCTGCTGGACACGGCCAGGGTAAGGCTCTGGGGAGGGAGGAGGGCAGGGTCTCGTCCTCTTCTCCTTCTCCTACCCACGGGCCGGGGACTAAGGAGATCCGAATCTCCCTGCAGCAGCTGAAGGAGCTGCCGCTGAAGACCACGGCGGAGCAGGACAGCATCCTGAGCCTGTCTGCCCGCTGTCTGCTGCTCACCTGGCGGGACAACGAGGAGCTCATCCTGCGTATCCCCACTCACGAAATCGCCGCGGCCTCCTACCTGCAGGACGACGCGCTGCACCTGCTAGTACTTAAGACCGGTACAGCTGGCGAGGGCGGCCGGGAGCGGCCAGGGGAAGAGAAAAGGGTCCAACGTCTAGTCTGGAGAATGGGCGTGGCCTGTGGCAGGGGCGGGGCCTGAGGCTGGGTGAGGGGCGGTGGGAAAGGCCTGGCCGCACTACCCTGAGACCAGGGACTGGCCGAAGATGCCATATGCAAGAAGACGGAGCCCGGGGTTGAGGCTGAAGGGTAGGAGGCCTGACCCACCATTCTGAGGGCAGGTGGCGGAGCGCGGGAAGATGGAGAAGCCGGGAACCTGAGGCCCAAAGTCACCACCCGGCTTAGAGGCTAGGTGGACCCTCGGGCTAGGGGCGGAGTCTGGTTTGGGGGCGTGACCATACGCTCGGGGGCGGAGCTACTGGTGGGAGGAGTCAGACACGCCAAGGTAGGGGCGGGGCTGAGGACGGGGTCGGGGAGGAGTCGGAATCCAAGGTTTGGCGCCCCTGAAACCTGGGACAGGGTCCGAGTTAAGGCTACAGAGGGAGGGGACAGCCTGACCACCACCTTCCGGTCGGAGAGCAGGTGTGAGGCGAGGAGCTAGGCAGTGGGTCGAGGAGGTCGGAAACCGCCGGCCACACCGAGGCCAGGGGTGGAATCAAAAGTAGGGGCGGAGACTGAGGTCGGGAGGGGAGCCGAAAGTGTGGACGCGGAGTGGGGCGGGGGTAGCCGCACTACTTTGAAGCCAGCTGGGGGCCCTGAGGCCAGGGGCGGCGGGACCCAAGAGAGGCGGGGTCTGGTCCTCCAGATGGCCTCGGTAGGGGTCTCAGCCCGGATCTTCTGTGGCTGATGGCCCCCCGGACTCCCGTAGGTCTGGGCGTGGACCCGGTGCCGGCTGGCGTGGACGCCAGCCCTGGGGGCGCGGGGCGAGACCCCGGCCCGCCAGGCGCGGCGCCCGAGAAGCGGCGGGTGGGCACCACGGAGCGGCGCCACACCATCTGCAGCCTGGACTGGCGCATGGCGTGGGGCGGGGGCGCCGAGGCCCGGGCAGCGGGCGGAGGCGGCGGCGGCGGCAGCCTGGAGCGCCAGCGCGCGGGGGCGCGGGCGTCGGGCAGCTGGGAGCGCCGGCAGACGTTCAGCGGCAGCTGGGAGCGGCGGCACGGCGGCGGCGGCGGCGGCGCGGGCAAGCCGGGCGGCAGCTGGGAGCGGAGGCAGGCGGGCGGCGGCGGCGGCGGCAGCTGGGAGCGGCGCCACCCGGGCCCCAACCCGCTCGACCCGCAGGACCCCAGCCCGGATGCCTACTGCAACCTGGTCATCCTGGCTGTGGCCAACAGGGTGAGCCCGAGGGCACCCCGCGCTCCAATGTCCTGTCTCGGGGACGCTGCTTCTGTCTCTCCCGCCCGGTCCCGCCCCATTCGCGAGGTTCCTGGATCTGCCCCGGCCTTTTCCCTTCTCCTTCCTTAGGGTCCACCCAGTCTTCCCTTTGACGCCTTAACGCCTTCTAACCTCCAGCCCCGGACACCTCCAGGACATCTTCCCCTGACTCCCCCAGTGGGGCGAAAACTCAAAATAGCCCAAACATGCTAGACCTAACCCCTCCTCCAGCCCTGCTCCTTCTCCAATGTTGTCAATGTTAGCACCACCACAGTGACAATCAGAGCATATTAATCACCAGCATGAACTGAGTGCCAACTCATGCCAGACACGGACCGCATCAATTCATTTCACTCTCACAGCAACCCCTAGAGGCGAATAGTACAACTATTGTATCCCAATTCTACAGAGAAGGAAACTGAGATCCAAAGGTTAAGTAAGGTGGACAAGGTCACACAGGAAGCAGGTAACACTTTTAAGATTTGAACCCACGAAGGTCAGAGCTGGTATTCTTGGTAACTAAGGTGGTCACCCAAGATAGAAGCCTTCCTGCCATTCTTGCCTCTCCTCCCCTCCCCCCTCTTCCATATCACCCTTGCTTTTATTCATTTGACCGTGTTCATTGAGTGCTAGGCATTGGGCTAAGTGCTCTGGATACAGAGGTGAAACAATACATTTGGTGTCCTCCCTTATGGAGCTCACAGTCTAGCAGACACCTGCAAGCTCTGAGCCTTCTAAGCTTTTCCTCTGACCCCAGGCCACCAACTCCCTCTGTATATAAACAGTGGCGAACAAATTAGGTATGGTGCCTGTCTAGAGAGAGAGACGGATGATAACCAGTAAACTCAGACACTGTAGCTGTCTCCCTGCCCTTGAAACACTTTCTCACTCTGCTTCCGGCTCCATATCCTCCTACCTCTCTGGCTCCTCCTCAGAAGCTGGTTCCTCCTCTTCTCTCCAGACTCTGAAAGTTGGAGAGTCCAGGCTTAGTCCTTGGTCCCCTTCCCTCCTTTATCTACTCGTTTCTAGGTGACCTCTAGTCTCATGGCTTTTAAGACCCTGAGAACTCCCCAAATTTCATCTCTCACCAGATCTCTACTCAGCCTCTCCATTGGAAGGTCTACCACGCATTTCAAACCTAACACATTGAAAGCTGAGCCCCAGTCTTCCCCCCTACACCTGCTCCTCCCTCGGTTTCCCGTCTCTGTTAATGTCAGCTCCATCCTTACGTTGCAGTGATTCTTGGCTCCCCACCCCTTTCCATCTCTCTCTTTCCCTCTCCCTTTCTCTCTCCTTCTTTCACCTCCCCCGACCCATATCCATTCCATCAATAAATCCTCTTACTTCTCTCCACCCTCCACTGTCCCCACCCAGGTCTGTGCCCCATTCTCTCATCTCGATCATGGAGTCACCCCCTCACTGGTTCACCCCTTGCATACAATCTGTTCCCCCAGGCAGTCAGAGTATTCCTGTTAACACACAAGTCACATCCTGTCACTGCTCCAAATCTTCCAAAGCTCCCCTTTTCACTTAGAGTGAAAGCTACCATCCTGACAGTTGTTTACAAGGCCACCTCCAGCTACCACGCCCATTTCCTCTCCACCTCATTCCTTCTACTCTTCCCTTTTATTCACTCCACTCCCACCAGACTGACCTTGTAGAGTGCAAGAGGCCTGTGTGTTCTGGATGGTTCACTGTGGCACCCCCAGCACCTAGAACAGGTGCTAGCACCTAGTACCTGGCATGTAACAGGTGTTCGATAAGTATCTGTTGAATGAGTGGATGAGCTAATGCAAATTATATCATTATACCTTGCCGTGGGGACCTAGAAGAAAACAAGCAGGTTGCAGTGATGGAGGACGGGGGAGGAGATCCATTTCAATAGGGAAAGTGAGTTTGTGCCATTTAAACTGAAATGTGAAGGAGAGCAAGGCGTTAGCAGCGTGAAGAGCCTGGAAACAGATTCTATACAAATGCAACAGTGTGCCCTGTTCATCCCCTGGACTGTGAGAGCTTTGGGGTACAGATCCCGGCCCAGCACCTGCCATGCAACAGGAATAAATGAGAAGTTGTTGAATGAGTAAATAAGAGTTGCTTTCCAGGCATGTCTGAGCCTCTAACCTCCTATCTGAGACATCCTGGTCCTGAGGAGGGTATAGGAGTTAGAGACGAAAAACTTGGGTGCTAACTAAGGGCATGAACCTGCTGTGTGAGCCTGTGCAAGTCACTTAGCCACTCTAAACCTCAGTGTCTTTAACTATAAAATAAGGATCATCTCTTCCTTGTCCATTTTGTAGGGTTATTGTAAGGATCAATTCTGGTTTAATGATTAGTGCACCCCTACTATCCCAAAATGCCTATCTTGAGTTAGATTTTAATTTATACCTTGAGCTTTTTTAGAGACACAGAATAGGAACAGCTTCATGAAGATGGTCTCTTCATCAGTTATTGTCTATGTGTCTTGCTTAAAGACATAAAGAGGTAAATTAAACATTCCTCTTCAAATTTGCAATCTCAAAAACAATTCACCCAAGAACTTAAACTCTTTCCTTCTACCAGAGACTGAAGTTTATGTATTTATCCTGCTTCCATTTTTGCACTGGATGCCAGGAAGCTCATATCTAAATATGGTAGTTGAGCCTAAAATTTTGATACATTTAATTATTTCTCCTCCTACTAGATATAGGAGAACTGGATTCTAATCCTGGCTAATCACTTTCCGTCTCTGAGCCTCAGCTTCCATACCTATACATTAAACTAAATTTGGGCTTATTTTAGGTAAGCTTCAGGAATGCTCATGAATCCTCTAGAAATTTGGGATGTATTTTTCATGGCACAGGAGTCAGAGTTGTTGCTGGATTCTATAAAGGGGTTCCAAGACCAGAGAGTAGCCATAAAATTTTGATGAAAAATGTTCTCAAAATCAATTTAAAAGGGTCCGTATATGTGCGTTTCTGTGAGCCTCTTTACACTGTGTGTTAGGAAGCAGGGCATATCCTGGTCATTGGTGAGGACCTGAGCTCTCTCTCTCCCCGGGCCAGGATGCTGCTGAGGAGTCCTGCGCACTGATCTGCCAGGTCTTCCAGATCATCTATGGGGACCAGAGCATTGAGTGCGTAGATCGGGCTGGCTACCACTACACGTCTACACCCGAACGGCCATGGCTCTGCAGCCGCAGTGAGTAACCACTCCTGGCCTCCCCTCTTGTGGAATATCCTAAAAGGCCAGGGGAAGGAGGATGCCCCAGGACTCGGGGCTAATGAAGGCCTTTAGGAGCCCTGATCCCTACCACAATTACCGTGTAGGTTAAATAAAATGTCAGTTTTCATGATGACCTCAAACTTAGCTCCTTCAAGGATGTCTGGGTTGCCAAATTCAGAATGAGCCCCCTCGGAGCTGAACTCCCTCCCATTTGTTTTTATGTCCTTGCTTTGCAGAAACTGAGGCACATGCATCGTCTACTTACTGTGCATCCAGCCCCACTGGGACCCTAGGTCAACACCAAGATTTCCAGACGGGTTATTGGATGCAATCAAGAGCTAGAATGAGAATGAGACTAACAGAGGCATTCATTGAGCACCGATTGTGTGCCAAGCACAGTACCAATGTGCCATGTCTTAATCCTCGTAGCAACCTGTTTGTCACTGTATCCCCTGTGCCTAGCATGGGATTGGGTACATCACAGATGCTTGGGAAGTATTTTTGAGTGGATGAAAGAACTCTCTGAGGCCTTATGATTCCAGTTTCACAGATGAAGATGTTAAGGCTCAGAGTAGTCAATAAATGCTCAAGGTCACATAGCTGGTAAGTGGCAGAGTAGGGATTCAAACCCAGGTCTGTCCGATTCTAAAGCTTCTCTCTGCAACAGCCCCACTCCGCACTCTGCCTTCAAGGCCAGTAGGTGCATTCCCTCAGCCGCAGTCCCCTGCAGTGTGGTCCCTGTGTCCCGGCTGCAGCCACAGAGTGCTGGCTCTGTTTCTTCCGAAGGCCTGCCCGTCTGTGGGAACTGTGCTTGTTGGGAAGCTGGGATAGTTCATCGACTCTCACAAGGATGATGGGCAAATAAATGAGATGACTCAACAGATAGTTCAACAAATTCATTCACTCGATGAGTATTTACTGAGCACCTACGATGAGAGATGCAGTACTAATCACCAGGACATACAGGTCAGCAACCCTAGACGTGGCCCTATCGTCACGAAGCAGGCATCACCGAGGCTGGCTGACAGTGATTAATTAATGACACAAACAAACATGTAACCACAGATTGTGCTGTGAGAACACATAATGAGGACCTGGCCTCACCTGGGAAGTCAGGGCCAGGCAGTGACACTGAGTGGGCCGAGATCAGAAGGCCGAGGCCACTACCTGGATCAATGAGGTAGCAGGATCAGGAAGAGAGCATGTTCTCTGTCACTGGTGCCTCTTTGCTCTGAAGATTTTGACATCCTCCCATCACAAAATTCTTTTTTGTCTTGCCTCAAGCACACACAGTTTACAAAACACTCCTTCACCTGTTCCTTCATCTGCTATTCCCAAGGCCCCCACCAGGTAGGGGGGAAGGCGGTATTGTCCCCACGCTGGGGAAGTTGAGAACCAGAAGCAAGGGAGGTGAGTTGCCCAAGGTCAGCGGGGCAGGACTAGACCCCAGGGCGAGGCTGAGGTTGGGGCCTCAGGGAGCCGGGGATGTTGGTCCCTGCTTTGCCACCTCTGAAGTTCCTCTGTCTGCTGGTCCCAGGTGAGAGCTGCCGCACAGATGGGACTTACGCCTATGACGCCGACTTCAGCTGCTGCAGCTCCTTGTGGGTATAATCCTGAAGAGGGTGGGGTAGGAAAAGGGAAGCCTGTACCCCTAATGACCATGAAGCCCCAAACTCCTGCTCTATGATATGTAAGAGATAAGGGAAGAGATTACAGGCATGAGCCACTGTGCCCAGCCTCCAAGGTTGACTTTTTATTAGGCAATATTTATTGAGTACCTTCTATGTGCCAGGCACTGTGCTGTGTGCAGCAGATACAGCAGGAAACAAGACAGAGGGCAAGACCTCTACTTGGCACAGAGTAGATGCTCAAAAGATGAAGAAAACCAAGGTCTCTGGTCTTTCCAGGTGCACAATCTAGCACAGGAGGCGATGAAATATCATTTCATAGTAATAATAATTAATGTTATCAAGCACTAAAGAGAAGCTCAGAGAGCTGTGAGAGAGGCTGAGGGGGACCCCAGGTCATCTGGGGAGTCAGGTGGGCCTCTCAGAGGTGATGCATGAACCGAGGCCTGGAGGATAAAAAGGGGAAGAGTGTTCCAGGTAGAGGGAACAGCAAGTGCAAGAATTCAGAACAGGATAAAGCTTAGTGGGTTTGAGGAGCAGTAGGAGGCCACTGTTCTGCAGCAGGGGGTGCGAGGGACAGGATGTTTGGTGGGGGAACTTGGAAAGGCCTCGCGTGTTACGCATAGACTACAGACTGGGGGAGCACGTCTAACAGAGGGTCTAAGCCAGCTGGTGGGGTCAGGGAACACTTTCCTGAGGAGATGATATTTAAAATCCAATGATGAGAGTTAGCTGAGCGAAAGGTAGGGGAAGAGAGGCACTCCAGGCAGGGGAAACAGCATGTGCAAAGGCCCAGAGGTGAGGAGGTGCTTGCAGGATCAGAGGGAAAAGGAGAAGGCAGGTGGCTGGAGCATAGAGGGCAAGGGTGAGCACAGTGAGGGACAAGGCTTGAGAGGTGGCAGAGGCCAGGTCATGTGAGGCCTTGGGGGCCAAAATGGGGTCCAGGATGAGCCCTCAGAGCATCGGTAGCTGTGCCCTCCCATCTCCAGCCTGCCCTGGGGAGAGGAGCTAAAGGGAGGCGAGTGAAAGCCCCTTTCCCCTGTCCCTGCAGCAATGGCTCCCAGGACACTTTTGAAGCATGTTACAGCGGCACGTCCACGCCCTCTTTCCACGGCTCCCACTGCAGCGGCAGTGACCACAGTGGCCTGGGCCTCGAGCAGTTACAGGATTACATGGTCACGGTGAGCTGGGGCAGGCGGTGGGGACAGCACACGCACAGGCCTGGAGGCTGGAGGAAACATGGGGGTGTTTCAGGGATTGTGCGTGGTCCTGGGCACAACCAAGGCAGAAGATCTCAGAGGTCAGGGCGGGGGATGAGGTTAGGAGAGTAAACTGAGGCCAGCCTGTGAAAGGCCCTAACTAATGTCAGCTTGCATTCATTGAGTGCTTGCTGTATACCGGGCACTGCTACAAGCACCTTTCGTGCATCATTTCTTTTTATCCTTTCGACAGCCCCAAGAGGGAGATACCATCATTATCCTCACTTTGAAGATGAGGAAAGCAAGGGTCAGGGAGGTTGTCACCTACCCGAGATCACAGAGCTGGTCAGTGAGGGGCCAGGATTTGAACTGCGGCAGCTTGAGTCCACATCCCATTCTTAGGTGCAGCCCAAGGGGTCTGGATGTGCCAAGCAGGCCATGGAAGGGCTTTCAGAGGAGGGCCGGGCCCCACATGCCCTAAGAGAAGGCTCTGGGTCTTTCAGGCAGCGGGTGGGTGGGGTTGCTCCCTGGGATTGATCTCAAGTGTTGTCCCCCCACAGCTGCGGAGTAAGCTGGGGCCCCCCGAGATCCAGCAGTTCGCGGTGCTGCTGCGAGAGTACCGGCTGGGGCTGCCCATCCAGGACTACTGCGCGGGCCTGCTGAAGCTCTACGGGGACCGGCGCAAGTTCCTCCTCCTCGGTGAGCCCCTTGCCCGCCCTGCGGTTGGCTGAGGCCCCTACTTGGTCCATGCCATTCCCGGTCGGGCACCAGGCTAGGAACGTTTTCTTCTTCTCCTTCGGCCTCTGATAAGGCCAGATGATGAGATCCATCGGGCAGATGAGGAGCCCGAGGGGCAGAGAGGGGAAAGGACTTGTCACAATGCCAGGAGACAGAGCTGATAAGAAGAACAAAGCACTGGTGTAGTCATTTCACTGTCACAGCTAAGCTGGGAAAGGGAGCGATTCTTCTCATTTTATCCCATTAAGAAGCTGAGGCTCAGAGAGGCTAAGGAACTTGTCTAAGGTCACACAGCTAGTAAACAAGGCTAACAACAGTAATAATACTAATAACATGTATTTGGCAGTTACCCTGTGCCAAGCATTATCTCATTAAATGCCCCCAGTTCTGGGAAGTAGATGCTATAATTTGTCCCCATTTTGCAGTTAAGGAAACTGAGGCTCAGAGTAGCAAAGTAGCAAAGTCACCTGGCTAGTAAGTAGGGATGGAAGTAAAAGCAAAGTAATGTTTATGGAGCACACGGTGCGTGCTAAGTTCCTAGGGGGAGAACAGGTGCAATTATCTCAGTTTCACAGGTGAGAAAAGGGAGGCTGAGAGTAGTTATTTAATGAAGGTGACAAAACGAATAAATGGGACCGTGACAATCGTAATACTAGTAACAATAATAAGCTGTCATGCAGCGAGCATTTACTGTGTGCTGAGCGTTGTGTGGTTATTTGCTGGCTCAGAGAGTTAAGGAACTTGGGCAAGGCCACACGGCGGTGCGCGGCAGAGCAGGGACTCGAATTCAGATCTCCAGAGAGGGCGACTCTGCGGGAGGGGAAGGGGCTGAACCTGAGGAGCACCACCCTGGCCCTCACCCGCAGGGATGCGGCCCTTCATCCCGGACCAGGACATCGGCTACTTCGAGGGCTTCCTGGAGGGCGTGGGCATCCGCGAGGGAGGCATCCTCACCGACAGCTTCGGCCGCATCAAGCGCAGCATGAGCTCCACGTCGGCGTCGGCCGTGCGCAGCTACGACGGCGCGGCGCAGCGGCCCGAGGCGCAGGCCTTCCACCGGCTGCTGGCAGACATCACGCACGACATAGAGGCGTTGGCCCCGGATGACGACGATGACGACAACGACAACGAGGGCGACGACGATGACGAGTCCCAGGGCTCCCGGGGAGGGGGTGACGCTGCTGAAGACAACTACCTGTAGCCGCCGCCCGTGCGGAGGGCGTGGAAGGGGGTGGCCCCGTAGCCCGCCTCTGGCGCTCACTCACTCTCACCTGTGGGACCCTCATCCACAGGCCTCCCGCCTTACACCCTGGCCAGGGTCTTCACTCCCGGGGTTGCTGTCCCTGCTTTCGGGCCCTGGTCCATGCAGTACCAAGGACGTCCTGCAGGGGGTGGGCGAGGCCGGACCCTCGAGTCTGGGGCGGTCGCCCGGGGCTCAGCAGGGCCCTCTGCCAGCCCGGAGTTGGGCAGCATCCGACTTTGTCCCACTAGCCCAGAGGGCTCGGCCCCAGGACCCACCCTCCTCCCCAAGGCTCCCTCCGCAGCTTTCCGGAAGGGATGAAGGGTGGGCTCCACCTGCTGGCCGACTGAGAAAAGAATTTCCAGAACCCAGAAGCTTCTGTTGGTCCTATTTTACGGAGCGGGAAACTGAGGTTCAAAAAGAGGAGAAGGGACTTGAGGGGATCTCCTGATTCTCCTTATATTACCTCCAATAGACCATACTGAACAGTGTAGAAGGTCTTTTTAAGGCTCTAATCGCAGCGTGTCCCCTCCCCTGATAGCAGGAGTTGCCTCCTCAGTGCGGAGGAGAGGTTTTCGTCCCCTCAAGTTTGACTCAGGTGGATGATCTGGGTCTCACTTGGAGTCCTAAGACCCTGAACAACTTGCTTGTTCGGGTCTTGGATCTGGAGCCCGATTTGGATTTGGGATCTTCGATTTGGAGCCAGACAGAGCGGGAGCTCTTACCTGGTTAGTGTCCTGGCCCCCCGTTTCCTCATCCACCCAGGGGGGTGTCGTGGGGAGTAATGAAAGCCAAGACCTTCGTTCAGGCTTTAGCACGTGATAGGCGCTCAATAAGTGACTTTCCTTGCCACATCGAACACTTTCTGACTCGGTTTTCCTGTCTTGCCTGCGATGGGATGAGAACTGGGGGAGAGGGTGTTAAGAAGACCCTCAGGTAGCTCTGTTTGGGAAGAAGAAACAGGACTTGCCCTTTGAAGCTCAGTTACAGCCTGGCTCTGTGCAAGGCCCAAACGAGAAATAGCCAGGACTCCACAGCCCTCTGTGGGTCTAAGGTAGTCAAATCTGACGGCGAGTTGGAGAGGTAGGGAGGTCAGGATCGGCACAGCCCTGGGCACCATCGCAGTAAAGACTTGGAGGCCAAAAGGAACAAGGCCAGGGAGGAGGTCAGAAACTCACGTAGAAGAGCTCAAACTTATGTGTAAAACTGTGCAAAGCCTTCCATGGCCAGACATATGGTGCTTACCATGAGATAGGTACTGTTATCAATTTTCAGGTAATATTATTAGGACTTCACGTCCAGAGAGTTCCATGATTAATACTCCATTTGTGGCAAGTGATCATCCCATCATGCCATTATCCTTGGTCCATGTAAAGCCTTTCTGATGTTTTCTTTTATTCCCCCATCCCCAATCCACACATTCCCCACGTTTCTTCCCTCTCCCCACCGTGAGCACCCACCTCTACATGCTGATATATATCCCAGGACACAAATACACAATGTTTGTGTGGCTATTTACACTACATAAATGGCATTATATGAGACTATCATTCTATTGCTTCATTTTTTCACTCCATACTGTTTTTAAGGTCTACCTGTGTTGCTGTGGGAAAATCTAGCTATTGCATCCAGTTGCTGCAAAATATTTTGAGCTGAGCATCCACTGTTTTATTTATCCATCTTCCCAGAGATGGATACCCAGGTTGCTTCCAACTCCCTTTTACCACAAACAACACTGTGATGAACGTCTTTGTACATGATCCTTATGGGCCTGGGTGAAAATTTCTCTGGGCTCTACACCCAAGAGTGGAATTACTAGATCACGGGGCATATACTCATGTTTTAGATTTCACTTAATTCTTCCAGAATAGCTCCACCTACAGGGTGTGAAGGGTACTGTCTCTCCACATCTTCATTAGGTTTTACACTATCTGACTTTGTAATTTTTGCCTGTGGGTTTGTGTGTAAAGTGGCATCTCACTGTTGTTTTAACTTGCATTTCTCTGCTTATCCTGAGATTTAGAACCTCCTCCTATACTTGTAAGGCATTTGGGCTTTCTCTTCTGTGAATTGCTTGTTCATATCTTTTGTTCACTTTCTCCTGGGTTTTCTCTTTTTCTTGTGGCTTTGCAAGAGTAGATGGTAAATTTTAGAAATTAATCCCTTTTAGATGTTATTGTTACAAATATCCTCAGCTAATGTGTTGCCCATCTAAGTTTATCTATGGCAATAGTTCTCACACTTTAGCATGCATCAGAATTTCCTGGAAAGCTGGCCAAAACACAGATGTCTGAGCCCCACCCCTGAGTTTCTGACTCAATAGAGCAGGGGAGGGGCCCAAGAATTTGCATTTCTAATAAGCACCCAGGTGATGCTGACAGTCCAGGGACCACACTTTGAGAACAGCTGCTCCATGATGCTTTCCATTGAACGAATTTGTTCTATGGAACAAATTCCTTAATTCTGATGTTATCAAATTTATTTATCATCATTTTGTGTTTGAAGGAACTGGAGGTGAAGAGGTGAAGCGAATGGCCCAAGGTCACATAGTGGGCTGGTATTTGACCTCACACCTGGCTAACCAGATCCCATGCTCCTAGCCTCTCTACTTTCCTATCTCGAGCCTTTGGGTGTAGTGGTCATAAGCTGGGGCATTTGGACCTGAGGCTGTAAGGAGACTTAGTGAGTTCCTGAGTGAGGCAGCCGTAGAAGGAGAAGATGGTTGGGTAAGGACAGAGGCCAAAGACACAGGGGTCCCTTTTAAAGGCCTGGGGGCTTTGCAAGAGAGTCAAGCTCAGAAACTGCCCACAGTCCTAGCCAGGGTACAGTGCTGGGCTGCTGAGAAGCACTGGGTTGGTTCTTACCCCATAGTTCCGGGCATGGGGCAATTTCCCTCACACCCCAAGGAAGTTCCCACCCACCCCGGAACTACCCTCTTACCAAAGCCATGTCACCTCTTAGTATCTGAGGTCCAAAGGGTCCTGGCTGGGGTAGCCAGACTGTGGCCACGCTTCCTCCTGTAGCATCCAGAAACCCTACCAGGGCCACTTCCTTTCATGGTTCAGTTCCTGGCATCTCAAGAAGGGAAAACCCTTGTGGGTGGGACAGCTGGTTCCCAAGGACTTCTAGGGGTAGTGCAAATATGGAACTTCCCCACCAGCTGGGTCTCCTGGGGACAGTCCTGACCCAAAGACAAGTGGTGAAATTACTAAAATTGTCTCCAGTTACCCCTAGGTGGGCAACCCTCCCATTTTGAGGCCCTGCAACTTCCCACCTCTTCCCCACTTCCAACTGGACACTCCTAGCAGTCCTTCCCAACTGTGTGTTGGGGAGAAGGAGTCCTGGGGCCACTGTCGTTCTGTCACCAAACATTTAGAGAGCATGCACTCTGCCAGGCATTGTGTGAGACGTGAGAGAAAGAATCAGCACCATCTCTGCCTGCTGCGCGCACACAGTCTGGTTGGTGGGGAAGACAGGTCCCCAGATAATCACGGCACAAAGTTCTCACTTCTGTAATCAAAGGAAGAGATGCCAGCTCTTTCTGGGAAAGCTGCAAAAGGCTTCACAGCGGAAGTGACCCACGAGCGGGAGCCTGAAGGACAAACAGGGGTTTTGGTGGGGGGACATGGAAAGGAGTGCCCCCCCCATGGGGACCCAGCATGAGCGAAGGCAGGGGAGCTTGAATGAGCATGGCACACTCCAGAACTGGCAGCCAGTTAGGACCGGTGCAGTGACTGGGGTGCCCGACCCGAGGGTCAGACCACATGGTGTTGAATCCCAACTCTGACATCTGCTAGTTGGGTGATCTTGGGTAAGCCCCTAAATGTCTCTGGGTCTTGGCTTCCTCATCTATAAAGTGGGGAGAATAATGGTATCACCCTCATAGATCTCATAGATCGGTGTGAGGCTTAAACAAGACAATTCATGCAAAAGTACATACAGCAAGTGTTCAATAAATGTGACCATTATTACTGCTGGAGAAACACGGAGTGTGTGAGGTGGGGAACAAGGTTGGTGGGCAGGACTTGTAGGAGAAGAAACCAGAGAACTAGGCAGATAAGGAGGCCCTTGAAGGGCAGCTAGGAAGTGCGGGCAATGGGGAGCGATCTAAGGGACTCCTCAAGCTGCTGGGGAGGAGGATGGCTTGGAGAGCAGAGGAGAGTCTGGGAGGCGGCGGATGGGGCAGGGGGCTGGAACGAGGACCAGATGAGAAATGCTAGGACCTGAGTCAGATGAGGTAAGAGGAAGGAAGAGGAGATGGTAGGTTCAAAGAGGAAGGGGGAAGGGAGAGAACTCCCTCCAGCTTCAGAAA